ACCCTTTTTGTATGTCACTGCATGACTACTGGAAACCATAATATTTGACACGAAATTCTTTGAGCAGGCCAGGAAACTCTGCCCTTCCCATTGACCAGGATCTTTTCCTATCAAGCATCTCGACACCTTGATGCACAAGATGCATTTAAAAAAAGATTCTTGCTAGAAAGAACTGATAAGTATTGTTGCCTCTAGAACTTTGAATACTGGGTGGCGAAACATGAGTGCATTATTGGCAAGGATTTGCAGATTCTTAGTGTTTTTACTAGGGAAAGATATTAAGTCGAAGTAGATTCAAAAAGATACATACATAGTTTGAAATGCTGACATCTCTGTCATCTGTATCTGCGAAGCGTTTTTCCAATAGTTTTTCTCTGCCATATGTAGCCTTTACAGCCTGTTGGTCTAAAATGTCAAATCCGACCTAAATTAACGCAAGGAATTATCTTGCTAAAAAATGTCATTTCAACAATAATCGAGTTCTGCCCTGCTGTTTTATTTTAAAGAAGATTTTTGTGCATTTTCTTTTGCAGGTCTCGCAAGCCATCTTTGAAAGCTAAAAAACGTTTGTAAATTCTTTGGATTGTTTGATGTTGTAGAAGACAGATTTTGAACCAGCGTTTCAAACTGCATTTATAAGTATGTATCACTTTTAAACCGCCTCTTCGACTAAATATCCTTTCCCTGTTAAAACCAATGTTCTGAGAGGGCATGTGTCATTCAAGTTGAGCATTCATAACACGCAAAATTTTCTGGACAAGCTGATAGGAACTTTGGTAACCACTTATATTCATGCGCATACTGCTGAATCGAAAATAGTAAAAGGCGCAAAATAGAATTAAAAAAGGAATAGAAAAACTCGACCAATTTCCTTGCTAGACCTGAAAAGGTTTTTCTAGAATGAATGAAACGCTTTTTGTTTTTTCTTATTTGATTGTATTTTTAGGCTACGAGAACTACGAGCCACACTACTGGAGTGTGCTGGCTATCGTTTCTTCTCCTCGTCA